TCATACGGGAAAGAAATTACGCCGAGTTCGTTTCAGACAGGAAGTACAGCAATGTCTCGATTTTCCGAAGCATATCCACTGAGAGTCCATTATTTGTTAGCAAATGCACAAAGAGAACGGCTTCTGGCCGAAAAAAAATGTTTACTATTTCTATTTGTTGTGCAAAGCCCAATAACTCGGACGTGCGTTGCCGTTGTCACCTGCGCTTCTGAAGCCCATCGATAAGTGCTCCTATCCGTGCGTGCAAAATTCTATGTTGAGGGTGGAAATTAGGTCCATTTTACGATATTGACAATCGTATGTCGTCTTAGCGAGGCAGACAAGTGGTTGGCTCACTTTTGATATGTAGAGACATGTACATGTCCTAATCTTTCAACGCTTCATACCCCGAAGATGCTCCATAGAGAACTTTTCATAATCATCATCGTCGGCGGATATATTTCCATTTTCTTGACTGGAGCCCAAGGAAGATAATGCAGTACAATTTGACAGGCAGCTCATAGCAAGTGGGGGGTTGAGAGTGGGCCCTCTCCCCCCGCCATCCAAGACTTGAATGAAGTCTCCACGGGATCTACCTGCCAAGTTTTTCAGAGATTTTCGCCGGTGGTATCAGCTCTTCCAGAGTGCCCATCCGGGAGAGCCGGAGGCCCCTTCTTGTTGTACATATACAGACATTCTCAGATCTTTGACAGGCCCTTCCCCTTTTTTTGCCAGATTCCTGATTTTTAACCGGTGATTTCAACATCACCTTCAACGCCGGCAGGACACTATATTCAGAATGTTCCACCTATTTAGTACCTTCGAATAAGTTCATTGCGGGGATTCTATCCAAGACCAGAGCACGGTTATCGTGCGTATTGCTTCATTATTTGCTGTGTTCATCATTCTTCATGACAATGTATATTTAAGGCTGCTCGAACTGTCACCTAAGCTCTATGGGGATAAAGATCTGCACGTTGCGATTGCCGTCGTCTGGACTCGCTCACCTTGGTCACGGGGACGCGAAAGGGGCAGGATCTTGAAGCTATTGAGCACTAATCACAGGGGAGGGCCAAAATGTCGCTCTTAAGGACCTCTTCAGGGTACTTCCCAACCAGAAAAATGGGCACTCCCTCATCATCTTGGAAGTGCTGTTACCTGCGCTGAGAAAACAACGATTTCACCTAGGTACAGCGCAAGTAAATTCTGCTTCTTCTTAGAGCCAAAGGCACCGTTTAGGCCAAGGTCCTGAATAGATCTATCAGGAAGCTTTTTTGAGTACTGCCCTATCGTCCGTACAGTCCAATGTTTGGCGGATGTTAAGTTGAAATTAAATTTTTATAAGAAAGTCCGCGATTCTTAGACTTTCCGTACGACTGTCTGGGAGCACAGAGACTTTTTCCAGCTTTCGGCTGAGAACTTCAACAAGTCCTTCTTGGCTCTTAGGTTTCCCTCATTGCCACTTGCGCCATAGGATGCACAACGCTTCGTGGATGCAATCCGTGGCGACGGAAAAACTTTGCCCTTTCCGCACCAGGTGAAGCTAACCTCATCCGCATATGCATTGCCGAGGAGATACTGTTGATGGCAGGATGTTATTCTGTTCTTATACGACACAGCAGCACTTAGGCAACCGATGAGAATGCTCATTAAATTTTTTGTTTGGTATATTATAAGATCATTGTTTAGTAAGAGGTGCCGTCACCTGCCTGTTGCCTAGACACGTAGAGAAGGTTGTATCGTACACCACGCTCCTCCTTGCCGCAAATGGGTCGTGTATCGTACAGGAAACTCACATCCCTTTATATTGGTAGTCCAATTCATGATGAAAGGATAACTAGCTCAAAGCCATCTTGATAACTTCGAACTTGTCGCTCTACAATGAGCCGCTCTGATGATGATTGCTATCCAACCACCTCGAAAAATAAAATTTCTGTTGGATGACATTTCAAACGTAAACCGCAAGTTTCTCGTGCTCAGTCTCATCTCGAGAGACTTACATGGACCATAAAAGCGACCAAAAACTGCAGGCTGTCAAAAGCTAGCAGTTAATTCTGAGTTATACGCGACTCTGTCATTGAATTGACACCGGATCATCTTCCTGAACCTTTATAATCCTCCTCATAACTTGTTCCTTTCTAGTAGCTCCCTTTTTTTAAGGTAACATTTTGTTGTAATGTGATTACACAGTTCTTCCATGCGAAGAAGGTACAGTACGCAAGGCTTGTGGGGACCTCCTTCCTAGCACGGTGTCAGTGCCTTTCTGCCTACCCACCGCTTCCGGATCCGCTTTGGGTGGGCGGTAGGCACGGATATAGTGCGGAATCTATTGCGGAGGTCGGCTCGGCGTTGCGGCGCATTGCGGCTGAGGGAAGGGACGTTAACAGGAATCCCGTCGTTGGTATTTTTATTTGTTTGAATTTTCAGCCGGTCGCCTGGTTCGAACAAGCGGGAATGTTCTGTGTCAAAAGGACGGCGTCCGAGCACAAACGCCGGACAAGCCTGTTCGCTGTACTGTGATGAGGCTTCGGCGTCAGTTTCAAGGCCCTATTCACTACACCCACAGCATCTGTCATACGAACCATTTGATAACGTATTTTATAAGCGAGCCGTACACCAACCCCCATTAGAGAATTTCAAAAACGATTAATTCAACCAACACCTATTAATTCAACTAGATATAGTGATTTTTACATGTATTAATCTGCCTACACCCACTACACCTAGGTGGAGCCCGTTTAGCCGGTTGAATCGGCTGAGAGGGTAAATCGCCCTGTTCATGCGATACTACCTCAGCAGCTTCTGCCGGCCGAATTGGCTGCTCGTTGTAATGTGAGGCAGTTGCCGATCAGGATTGAAACCGCAACATCGGAAATGATTCCTGCACTATGTATAGGAAGAAAGAAGTTGGTTTCCAATCAACTTTGGACTTCATGTTGTATATATAGCCTCATGTATTCCCTCAAAAAGAAGAAGTAAGCTTCCTTTTGAAACACACAACACCAACAATCTCCTAGAGTAGGAAGACAGCTAGAGCCCCTGGAGTAAAAGATAATATCCATCCTTTACACATTTGCCGGTCATAAATGGTCACCTACATCTCGTAGTAATTACAGATTTACTTGGGCCTTAGCTTCTACTACCCTTAGCCCTTAAAAACTGAAACCATTTTTCTTGTCAAATTAGAATTTTATCAGGTTACATGGCGTGTAGTGTGATTAGATTGCAGATGTGCTTTCTTTCGGCTCGACCAGCCTTGCACCAGAATCCTGGTGTAAGGGGGGTCTGCTTTAACAGGGTAGGGCCTGTCAACTGGGCAAGGAGAAGAAGATGTAAAGGTAGCAGTAGATTGGAAACAAGACTGAATCTTGAAAATCTCTGAATCCGATCTTCAAGGGTTTATATACGAGAATGGTTCTCCAGCGACTTAACCGGGGATTCGGAAGCGAATCAAACACACGATCCCATTGTGCAGAAAAAGGTTCAAACCCTAACAGATCACAAAGGCGTTGAGGCGTCTATGGTACGCCCCGTAACACAAACCGCCTTTCTCCTTTAGCGAGGAGCACTATAAGCGGGTATGGAATAGAGCAGGCTCTTACGTCATCTTGATCGCCTGCCCTGAGCAAAGTGAGTGAAAAGTGAGCTCAGCACTGGGGAAAGCAAACTTAAGTGCTGAGGGACTGCCCCGGGAGCATCCAGGGAGTACTCTTGGCAATGGAGCACTCGGTTTTATCACATGACTTTTTACTGACTAAGATTTATTACATGGGTAGGATGCCTCAGGTTTGTGGTTTGTATCGGAACTGGGCTGCTGAGCTCATCTAGGTGCACCAATCGGATTTCAACAGGTCTAAATTGCAAAGAAGCCCCTAGCTGGCAATTTGGTGGGCAATACAATGACTAATACATGCGGATCTATAGTAATTCCTTCTTCCGAGTACCCACTTCTGGTCCTACTCCGACAGTTTGTGCGCGTTGAATTTATCACACTTTACATGACAGGATTGTACCGTATACCCGATTTCCCCACCCTTACCCATTTTACGTTCGCGTATAGCGTTCCCCAGCCAGGCTCCTGACCACTTGGGTTCGTAGATAGCGATTTGCATTCTATCCGCCGAGCTTCGGAGCCTACTATGGGTATCTAGACAAGCGTTCGATCACAGATTGACGCTTCCAAACAAGTCAATCTCTATATCCAATCGATCTTGTGCTGAATCAAATCAAACAATCCATTTGCTATTATTCGCTCTTCAGATATTTCAGCCCGCGAAACTTATTTCTCCAACGACTTCCTCTGATTTCTATTGTCAAAACAGCAGAAGACGATCATTGTCCACACCAAGCACTTGTCACTCCCTCTTGCCGCATCATCAGTTATCCTAACCTTGATTCGCTCCTGCACCCATAAATGGCTCCTCCCACGGTGACTCTGCAGAATATACGGTCCATGGTGTTCCGGGGGCCCTCATAGGGTAAACCGTACCATATCCGTCTACTTGAATTTGAGCATCGGGACTAGCATGGTAACTCGGAAGTTGAGATGTGTTAGCAGCATTTCCCATAACCGGCCATATCCCAACAGCACTAGCTTCCCAATTTGAATGTCGATTACTGAAAAGTGCAGGATGTTGACCCGGGTAGGACAATAATAGTTCGTTGCCTTCGCCGTTCGCACCTTGATGTGGGATGACGTGATAGCTGGGCTTGGATTTAGACAAGCCCCAGGAATTTGTGAACTGAGCGAGAGGCCCATTCAACTCAGGGCCATATGCCCATTTGCCGATGGAAGCCCCTATATATCGGAAGGTGTCTAGGGCATTGGGGCTTTCATCTCCAAATGCGGAAGTGTGGCCAGCCTTCCGCGTTGTGTCACAAGTGGCAGTTTGTGAAGACTGCTCAAACACTTGGTTGTTTCATGAAATATATTAGCCTCATAAATGACTATGATTTCTTCGAACTTCTTACCAGCTTGTCTGTCTAAGGACCGTTCCTCCTGCTCTCTAATTTCGTAGAGCTCATCCAGAAATCTGATTCGGCCTTCGGCCCTTGGGCCGAATCAGATCCCGAATAGCCCGATCCGCCTCTTTGAGTTTTCTAACAGTAATACCATGGCTTGTACGCAGCTCACGAAGAATGTGAACCAGTAGTCGAATACGCTCTATGGAGGTTAAATAGATCCACGTGAATGGAGTTATCCGAGGAACGTACCAACTTTAGGGAGATGGTCTGGCTCGCGGTGGCGAACTTGGGGAGGCCACCATGGCGGCTTGGTCTGCTCGGGGTCTAGTTGGACTGTTCTCCCTCCGATTGCTTTCCGTCCATTATATGGATAGTTGACTTGCTTCCTTGGTTCCACCACCTTGATATAAGCTTTGGCGAGGACGCGGCAATTGGTCTGTTGAAGATTTTGAAAGGCCTTTTCGTACATTCGGACCAGAGTGTGTGGTTCATGAATTGATATAAGGCCTCCACTGCATGGAAGACCCTTCAACCCAGCGTCTAAACCAAAGTCGTGCTCTTTAAATTCAGAATCTTGAATTCTGCAAGAGTAAGGCTGCAAGTGACACAGACAATTCGCATGGTGCGAAAGTGGCATCCTCTGCCCTGGCTGCTTCGTTTGCCGCAGCTTTCGGGACCTCGTTGGCGTGTAGGTCTCATAAGGCACGTGTGCAGACGGTGGCCGCTGAGAAATAATGCGGGACATTTCAATAGAGGCCACTGGTAAACAGTGATCAAAGTTGATCAGTCCCGTCAATTAGATCTGAGCACACAAGAATGAACGTACTGCTTACGTTGAATTTCCGAGCCTCACGTTTAGGTAGACAGACAGACAGTTTCTGGCGCCAACCTACCGACCAAATAATGCCGACTGCTGACTGGTTGAGGCAGACTCAGGTCAAAAATCGACCAAATTTTCAATTCGAGAGACTCAAATTGAAACAGCTTTAATTTTAAATATGTCGTGGTGGAAACCCGTTTCACCTCTCCCTCAGAGTCGGTTCGTTGAATTAAAAATTTGCACCTAGTGACTCTAGGATGGGGATGTGAGTTGCCTGAATCAAACAATAGCCAGCAAGAAGATACTGTGAATGCTTTTGGAATGAAGAAATGAGAAGAGACCTAGGACACGAAATTTATATCTTACCTATTATTTCCACGTTTTCCGATTCGTAACAAATTAGACCCGCCTTCTTTCAGTCTGCGGAGACAGCTTCACTTCCCAATAAGGAAGATTGCACTGCCCATGCATCACGAAAAAAGTTCTAGCTCTACATGATAGCTGAGTTTAGTTCACGGGGCATGGGACATGGCTTGCAGGTGTTTTCTGCATGGGCTCCAAATGGCGAGAGCCAACTTATAGCGATCGGCAAGATAGCATTAACACGAGAACTGGAGGGACTAGGAGTGGTTATAGTAGAGCCGGATATAACGGTGCGGGTAGAAAGTAAACGCTCGGCGAGCAGCGAGCTAGTTAGAGGACTAACTATTCTGTAGTGCCTAGGATAAGTGGGTGGCTCGAGCACACAATAGTTCCCACTGTGGCTGCCAGAGTCCTCCCGCGTTGGCACGCGCACGGGCTACATCCGACTGTCAGCTGTACCACGAAAGTTAGCGACGCATGTCGGCAGTTGGCATTTTTTTCCCGAGTGGCGATCAGTCAAGGCGAGTCTCACAAAGTAGTGTACGCACTTTAGAGCAGATCAACGATGCTGAGGTATGCGATAACGCAGGCGCTTGGTTCGCGGTACTTTTGTTTCAGGTAAGGCAGCTAGAGGGCGTTCGCACTGCGCTTCGCCTTTGTGCAATCTGTCGCAAGAACCTTTTACTTGCTTCAGTTGCCTCCAACCCAAGTGCTAGTCTCCTAATTATACCCCAAAGCAGTAGCCAAAGCGACTCGGGATTTACTTGATGTAAGGAGAATTGAATGATTGGTCGGGGGTGTCCACATGCTTTCCTGGCTAGATCGCTCTGCCGCGACGATCAAGTTCCCGATCAGAAGAACTGGCCGGCCACAGAACGGAAGGTGGCATCACAATGTTAAGAAGAACAGAAGTATTGTCAGGAATAGGTCTCAGAATTTTATTGATGAACCTGTCGTGCGGCCCCGTTCAATTATTTCAAGGTTCCTTGTACTCTCACGGACGTGTGTAGGCGCGTTTCAGTCTGCAATATCGGGTCATGATGAAAGACCAACCCCTCGATGTTGGCAGAAATTCGTGAGCAGCCTTCGCTAAATACTACTTATCGCGTCACAAAAAAATCCTGGTTTCGACACGGTTCGCATACTCCAACCAATATCTTATCTCACATGGGGGCTCACGGCCCATTCTGTACGAGTGCTTCAAGGGTTATACAACGTGGATCATGTTAGTGCACCCGCTTAGTAGGCGGGGGCAGTTCATGCGCACTAATGTAATTAACCGTCATTATGAAAGTTTCCCGCAGAACTGTCCCTGACTTTGACAAGGTACGCGCATGAACCTACAAAGGGTCCGTGCGTAAGTTCACCTTGGTGCAGCTGCAGCCTCAGACACGCCAGGTCATATGAAAGGGTACATGTACAAGGAGATTTTGTTTTGCCTTTTACAACTGTAAACCCCTGCGAGACGTACCAAGTATTGTGCCTTGAACCAAGACAATACCGCGCATTCAAAATCCAGAAAGCCCCTCGGGCCTCCTCCTAGATCTCAGGAGGTCCTTAAGGGTGACCTCTAGCACAAACTAATGCTGCCGCTGTGAACTAACCACAGAACAAACATCGTTGCGGTGTACGTTGAAAGGATAAGACACCCGGTTTTTTAACCATTTTAGCAGTTACCTAGCGCGCAGCGCGCCTGTTTATGAGCGAGGCTATCCTACAATGCATGGCTCTCTTGTCGGAAAAGCTCAATTTAACCACATAAGGGTTTGTGGACCTTAAAACCCAAACTTAGAATGGGATGGTATCTGAAAGCCTCATTCGAGCTCTTTCTTCAACGTCTGAGAATGATCTTGTCGGTCGGCGATATCGCGAAGTTCACTTTGCTTGATGTTCGATAGAATGCTGTAAATATCTTCCATCTGCAACCGTGAATGCGGGGAGTGGTTCCCCATGACGTCTGGTGGGCAGCGACCCTGTAGGAGTACTTGGAAAAAAAAATAATATCAGCGGATTAGTTGTGGGGAATTTCCGCTTAATCCACACTAATAGGTTTGGACCCGCAGGCGAGGCGCAATCAATTTTTCGGTTTGCCCCAAGCTTTTTCGAGATTTTAGGCTGTACCGGATAGCGTCTACCAAAGTCCGAGAAAATGAGCACCTTACACGGTCAGAATTTGTCATAGGCCACGGCACGATGTCTACACGTCATACGAATTACAATACCGTTCAAGTTAACTCTTACAAAAAACTGAAACATGCAAGGCTCTTAGATCTTTTACCTAGAATAAAGGAGTGATTGACGTCTCACTTCGTGGAATTCACAGCTATAACAGGGGTTATATGCAGCGCATATTTGGCTATTCAGAAGTACAGTAGGAACACTGTTATTTGTCGGAAGCCTTAGCCGGACTAGAGGGGCTAAGGAAGTTTAACTCGGGCCTTATCAGAAGTACGATATGCGAGAACCATAACCGGCCCGACTGCTTGCTAGGTCTTGGCGCGGCTCCTGTTGTCAACTTTAGATCAACATAGTTGTTTGTTTCTGGGTCCGACCCACACTTTCATAGCTTTGTTATGTTCAAGCCATGCGATCCATGTCATATCCCTTACATGCCTCGAATGCCAGAAGTAGAGTCAGCTGCAGGATTGTGAATGGACATTCCTCACTTTCCCGGCACTTGGCCTTCCTGGAGGATCCAAGTGGCGGACGCTGGTTGAACTAAGACTCTTAACATAGTTATGTGGCCGGCTATGGTTATTGAACTTGAGGTTTCTCACGATGCTGCCGAAAAATTTACCCGACTGCTAGAGATCTTAGGTCAACGAGGAAGTACCTTGGTGTGAATTGGCTAAAACTGCTACTTGGTCAACTGCTTGGTAGTGTAGGCGTTCGCAGAGAGATATTAAGCTTAGAAAGCAACCTTTTGGCATCGACAGATACTTTATCAGCACAATTTAATGTAAAATGGCTTGTCTTCTTTTTTTGGCTTCTGTGGGTGCTACCTGATTTTGTTAAGGGGTATAGGTCTTCATGGGTGGGTCCAGGCCCACTAGAACTTGCGTCATTGACTCACACTCACTACTTCCAGTTCCGTGCTCTTGGACCATGACTATCTTCCGGTCTACCCTATGATAATAACTGCACCAAATTTGACATTTTGCTCTTCAGATTCAAAAAGAAAACTTAATCATGCATTATTGATCTATGCGATGGTGGTCAATGTGATGCAAGGGAAGTTTGCGAAGCCTCATTCGTCAGCGCGGCTCTCGCGTCTAGCATATCGCAGTACGCCAGTCTCGTTCCAAGAACCCACACAGCTCAAAGGTCCAGGATATTTTTTTTCTCTGTTTTTTTATTTCATTCTATTACAGAGACAGCTTTTTATCAACCATATTCTGTGGTTTTCGGCTCGTGTTTCTTGCGCATCTTTCCCCTTCACGCCTTGCAGAATGAATCCCGAATACCCATTGGACCAAGCTGAGACCGAATCGGCGCTGTTCCCCTCCTACACACAGCCTACTGAATTCCAATTCCCTGAGACCCCCCTCCTTGGCCGTGGCGACTTGACCACCGGCGACCAGCCGACTACTAAAGTCCCGATCCCTCGAAACCCGCAGCCCATTAGCTGGGCGAGAAGCGGTCGAGTCAGTCGGGCTTGCGAAAACTGCCAAGAGCAAAAGGCTAAATGTAGCGGACACCATCCCGTCTGCCTTCGTTGCAAGGATGCTGGTGTCCGGTGTTCGTATAGCGATCGGAAGAGGGAGAAGATGGCCAAGTGGGTGGCTTCTGAAGTTCTGATGGAGCATCAGCTCACATCTAACGACTCCTTAGGCAACTCAGTGATCTTACTGCACGATTGGAAACCTACAAAACTCTCCTGCAAGACCTCTATCCCAGACTAGACAATCTTTCGGCCCGCCATGTTGACCAGACTCTTAAGGAGGTGTGTTCTAGTCATCCTCGCCCCTCTATTATTGCCTCCTCACCATCTCATTTTGTCCAGTATTCAGATCCTTTAACGCCTCACCCTGATCCCGAGGGCACGCCCTTGACTCCCGGGGCTATCGACTACACTGAAGAAGATTTTAACAGAGATGAGAAACTCCAGGCTATGGGGTTTGTGGGCGAGCACTCGGAGGTGGCCTGGCTGTATAGACTCAAACGGGACCTGGACCAAGACACCACGACACCGGCCCGCACCTCTTTCGATCGCCCTTCTATCTCGTCAGTCAACTACTTCCAAGATGAGCTAGAAATCTCTGTCCTCGACGAAGTAGACCTTTCGACCCGCCCTCCTCAAAACGTCGCTAGTCAACTCATCAACGGCTACTTCCTTTCGGTGCACCCTGCCTTCCCGATCATTGGCATGACCACATTTCTTGGTCAATGTGACTCCTTCTACATGAATCCCAGAGTCCGGCCTGGCAAACGATGGTTGGCAGTGTTGAATTTGATATTTGCTATTACAGCGAGACGTTTGCTGCTGATGGGCCATTCGCCCCACTCGGAGGCGGATAGCCATTTAGTATATTTCACGCGGGCGTGGCGCCTCGGCATTGACAATGTAGCGTTGCTTTCACACCCGGACCTACAGCAGGTCCAAGTCGAGGGCTTAACAGCCTTCTATCTTCTGTCTGTCGGACAGGTTAACAGGTCTGGTTTTCTGCTTATTTATTTTTGCGTGAGCTGGTGGCTGACCGATGGGAATCTTTGTGTCTAGGTCATGGAGAATTATTGGTATTGCGATCCGATCAGCCGTGACTATGGGGCTCAACCTCCGTAGCGAGAGCTCTATCATTGATCACCTTTCCAAGGAGATAAGATCTCGGGTGTGGTGGGCGCTCTTTATGTTAGATACCATACTATGTGTGATGACCGGCCGACCGCCCAGCACCATTGAGTCCTTCTGCTCTACGCCTCTCCCGCTGCCGTATACCGAGGAGGAATTTAATAATAAGCAGATCATGCAGCTTATCACGGATCAAGAAGCCCGGGGTGTGTTGATGTCTTCCCTGCTTTCCACGGAGCCAGCGATTGCAGCCAGGGAGAGCCTCGTCGGTCACACCCGTTCCGCACAGTTGGACAGCAAAAGAAAGCAGGTCGAGCGGAAAGCTCAGACTCTTGCCCCAAATAGTTCGCTTTACTTTTTGTACGCAGTGGACTTAACGTTACTCACCCGTGAGGCCGTGGAAACTCTGTACGCGCCTCGAGCGAAGAGACGATCATGGTTAGAAACTGAAATCAAGATTTCTACCCTTAATAGCCAGGCCGACAGATGGCTATCTCGTCTTCCTGCGGAATTCCACTTCGTCGAACTCGATACATCGCGGCCTTTTGCTTGGGAGCGTGCCAGTCTAGCCTTGCGCTTCTACACCACCAAGATAATCATTTCACAGCCCTGTCTTCGCCACCTTGCCAACCTACCCATTGCGACCTTTCCCAGCGCTGTGTGCAATACTATGGCTGCTTTGTGTGTTCAAGTTGCGGGACAGATTCTCGACCTTCTACCTAATGAGGTAGACACGGTATGGTTATACGAGATATCCCCGTGGTGGTGTATTCTTCACCATATCATGCAATCCAGCACGATCCTTTTAATCGCACTATTCACGCGAATCCGGTTTGTCATAGCCGATGCAGATAATATCGCAGAGAGGGTCAAGAAGGCTACTCGGTGGCTGAACAAAATGTCAGCCAAAGATACCTCCTCGCAGCGAGCTTGGCTTATCTATATGGATCTTCTCTCGCGCCACGCCTCTAAGCTTGGATTGGAAGTTGAACCTGGGCTCAATCTATGACGATTACCCTAGACTTACTGTACCTACAGGACATCTGATACCGAGGTGTGGTGGATTACGTTATTAACAGAGAGAGGAAACCTCATCTGCTAGTATGTGGTCGCTTCGCTTCGCGCCGAGGGCAGGGCTAAGTTCGAGTCCCGATACGAGTCCCACTCCAAGCTTGAGCACGCATAGGAGTATGGCGCTGCACTTCAAGACTGAGCTTGCAAGTGCCTGGTCGGTCAAAAGTCGATGCAAATCTCCTCAATATCTCTTCTATGGAGGATAGTCGATGACAAAGCTCATTTAAGGCCGCGGTATGCATTCGGCTCCCTTGGTATTTTCTAAAAAAGCAAGGACGCAACACTGTACCGCTTTTGCGGCTTGCGCATTAGGATTGTTAATACTTGTTGCTTCAGTTATTGTAAGGGAAAGACGAAAGTAGTATTAGTTGACGCATCTCAAGACAAAATCCAGGGGGAAGCTCATAGCAGTACTGTACCAGAGTGTGATCTATGACTTTAGACCCATTTTTGATGAACGGAGCAGATCGATATAATGCTTAATGAGAGGGGAGGAGGACTCAGATAGATACATTATGGCAACTACAGTATCACCGCTTAACTTTGTAACATTTTAGGGTAGAAAAATACTTTGAGCTCCTGGGAACCTGAGTGATTATTAGGCCTCTGCACGGGACCGGAAAGACCGCACCCAAGACCGCATTAGACCGCACCGCGCGGTCTTTGGTCCCAGACCTTGAGACCGCTGGGCGGTCCTACATTTTTAGGGACCGCACCACTGCGGTTTGGTGCGGTCCTGCGGTCCTGCAAACAAGCAAAACATCTTAGACCCAAGGTATGCATAATTTATGTAGAAGTCGCCTGTATTTTTGAGTATTCTGCTTTCAAATGATATTTAATTTTATATAATTCTGAGGTAGGAGTAAAGAATAATTCTTTGTTTGGTGTCTGTTGATTTCTACCGAAAAAGCGAGGATTGACTGATTTCCTTATGAATAGCTTATGTGGTTCTTGTTTCTATTAAAGATATACAAAATCCTCATCCTGTCTCAAGCGCTTTGGAACACGCCCAGATGAACGCCTCTGAGTAGTCCTCCCTTCTTCTAAGTGGCTATTATCAGGCAGGGGAACCTCATCGTCATCATCGTCAAGTTCAAATAGCTGATCCGGGGTAGCCCTTCTCTTTCCAAGCGCTCGCGCACTAGGAAGTTGGATAGTTTCGGCAGAATCTTCAGTAGTGGATAGGTCTTCCTCGTTATCACTAATTGGATCAAATTGTTCCTCTTTCTTCTGGGCGTCCTTCTGCTCTTTCTTTGCTTGCTTCTCTTGCGTAGAAAGATACTCATCAACTAGGGCAAGCTGCTCTGACTCCACGTCAAATTTTGTTGTACACATAAACAACATCAATTCCTTGATTGTCTGCGGTTTCAGTGAGCCCCGGCGATAATGGCAGATATCACGCGCAGAGTTAAATAACCGCTCAACGCCAGAACCACTGGCTGGTGTTGTAAGGATGTCTCGAGCAAGGCTTGCCAGAATAGGATATTCATTTTGGTGTTCTTTCCAGAAAACGAGAGGGGTTGCTTCGACAGTACCTAGTGAGGGTGGTATAAGAGAAGGAGTATATAAGAAGAGGTATATAGATTAACTTACTACTTCTAAGATACCGTGTAAGCTCATCTGGAGCCGTCACGTTTGACTGAAGAGATACAGTAGGTCTCAGAAGGATATCAATGTCAGAGACGTCTTGAATTGTGGGCTGGAGAGTTGATGTAGACTGTGCCTCTTCGTAGCGCTGCCGGTAAGGCTGAATGTAAGCCTCTAGCGACTGCTTATAGCGAGGCCCCCAGTGAGGTTCCCATTCAGATGTTGTGAAGAACTCTAGCTTGTTCCGTGGTCCTAGGATAGTCGCAATTGCATAGAGATCACCAGGAATATCATCAGTCTTTCCATAATACTCTGTAAGCTTATCGCGCGCACGGTCAAGCGCGGACTTCATCACTCTCTTCCAACCAACCTTCTTTCGCGCTAGCTGCACTTTCGCCTTATCAATATGTGTGAATAGGGCGTTATAGATACCAAAGACGTTATGGATAGTCACGTCTGTAGTTGCCGAAAGAGACGAAGTGAATTTGAAGAAGGGATAAGTGATTGACAGAAGATAGTCAACTTGTCGCCATTTATCTCTGTCTATCTTTACATCAGCGAGGTTGAATTGGACACAGAAGTCATCAAAGGCAGACTGCAATCGCCGGGCACGCCTGAGCATGAGGAACGTCGAATTCCATCGTGTCCGAACATCTTGTATAGGCATAAGCTTAGGCTCTTTCGTCTGAAGCCTTATGAAGCTCTCGCGGCGCTGGGGACTTTTGTTGATGTAGACTGCTACCTTCCGAACCTAGAATATAGTGCGAGTTAGTAAAGAAAGAGAGATAATAGTAAGAGATTAGAGAGAGCTAGACCTTGTTCAGAGTATCCACGATCTTTCTATTCTCTTGCCGAGCTATATGCCCTTTCTCGGTCCATTCAATCTCTTCCCTCTCGTTTCCTGGGTTCGCGTCCATCTGACCAAGGAGCTCCTTCAAACTGAGCTGTATAACATGTGCAATACATGGTATACGAATAACCGGTATACTACTAGGTAGCTGTAGGGATTCGACGACCTCTTGAAGGCTACCGAGTAATGTTCCGTTATTAGATGCGTTATCAGTAGTAATAGTTAACACCCTCTCAGTAATCCGATGCTTCTCAAGAAGGTCAAGCAGGACAGTGCTTAGATAGGCCCCCGTATGTGAGCCCTGTAGAGGTTCAAAGCCAAGCAAGAGCTCTCGGTAATTCCACTCTTGGTCAATGAAATAGCCCGTTATTGCCATAAAAGCTTGGCGAAATGGTGAGGTCCAGCAATCTAATGCAATAGAGAGCTTAGCACTATTAGGAAGCTTCTGTAGAAGAGTATACTGGCGTTCTTCCACGATCTCTTGAAGATGACGGCGGACTGTGGTTGCAGTTGGGATTTCGGGGAAGCAGGGAGCAAGCCGGGCCATCTCAAGAAGGGCGCGAAATTCAGGATGCTCAATAAGCTGGAAGGGTAGCCGCGAGGCAGCAATAAAGGTAATTAACCTTTCCATCCAAGCTTGCGGCGTAAATGATGCTTTACGAGACGACAGATATGCCTAGAAGGGGTATTTTATAAGATTAGTAATAATTAGAAAAAGGTAGACTGATTATCCATACCCCGTTCTTGATAGCCTTCCTAATATCTTGCGACTGAGTCGGTCCTCTCCGACAGGTACCTACTTGCGAATAATGCCTATTCATAGTAGATGTTCCCCGGCGCTTATCGGCAGGATGGGCAAGGATATGGTCGCAATTCTTGCATATTACCTTAGGAGACCCATCCTGGATAGTAGCGACCTGGTAGAAGTGGTCCCAACATTCTGCATTGCGTCTACCCTCAAAGATATTCCGTTTCATCTTACTTCCATACTCCGTCTTTAACCACCAGACGATGAAATCCTCATTCGCCATTTCTGTCCAGAGGATATAGTTTTTCCTTTTAGGAGGACCAACGCGTTCGAGTGTTTCTGGGATAACAGGAGGAATCGCCGGTCGGAGTAAGTTCACGTTAGGAGTAGAAGTTGGCGTTTCGCGCCCGTCGAGGTTAAACAGCCCATCAGATGTGAAGAAGGAGAAAGTATCTCGTGGATTATCCTCAAAAGCCGATGAGGGATACTGATCAGAGAACTGAGAGGAGGCCTGACTCTGTAACATTTTGACGAAATGAGTATAGGATAGGACGGGGGAGGTAAAGGACTTAAGGAGATACCTGCTAAAATATTTCCGTCTACTAGAAAAAGCTGAATAAAGGATTTTCTCTAGGAGAAAGCTATAGGCATGATTTAGATAGATCAAATTGAATTGTAATAGTGATTAGGCAGTAGGCTCCACTTTACTACAATCCGATAGGATAAGGGCTACGAAGACCGCAGAAGACCGCATAGAACCGCAGGAAAAACCGCGATAGACCGCATAGAGGGCTGCAAAGACCGCAGAAGACCGCATAGACAGCTAGTAGGAAATACTATGATTGACCGCAGAGGACCGCAGAGAACCATGAGGAGGACCGCACAGGACCGAAAAGGACCGCTAGAAGGCCCATATAATAGTATAATCCTCCTTTTCTTTCTAAGTCTACACTTCATATCAGAGAAACCAATTTTGAAAAGAGATTATTATGATATATTAGTAGTAGAATATAGAATTTCAAGATAAATAGTTAACTAGAGAATCTAAGCTCTCTGATAATACCCTTAATACCTATTTTAGCTGTATGTAGGGGGTTATGTACACTCAACGAAGAAGTCTCAGATGAAGATAGGGTCAGGTACTGATATCGAAATATATATTTCTTACCTCATACACCTAGCCAGCAATAATTATTACTAAACCTCTCTATTAGAACTTAGAAATATACTAGTACTGGCAGGTCTAGGTATTTTAAATAGTAGATTTTCTATATACGAGTATATTTCATCTGTTTTCATAGTGGCTGATGCTGAAATACAGTAAATGTTTATGAAGGGACCAAAACAGTGTTTAATAACAGTAATTAAATGGGATGAATCATCAATTTATGTAGCCGAAAAGAGAAGGTCTTGGTAGAATTATGCAATTGCGGTTCACCGTGGTGAAGACCGCAAGGGACCGCGGTTCACTATGGTGCGGTCTCAACCCCCGAATTCGAGACCGCAAGACCGTGCGGTCCGGTCCGCGGTCCTCGACCTAAGGACCAAGACCGCACCATGCAGAGGCCTAGTGATTATGTGTGAATCAGAAACTGGCACTAACAATATAGCCTGCACGTCCGCGTCGCTCTAGGAGCATGGGGCGGGCTCCTAGGAGCGATGTCTTTGGAGGCAACTGCTTATCCCAAAAAGATGGTGACTGCTCAAAACGGCATTCTGATGCGAGTGCTCAATGGCAAGAGAAGTGAGATGAATTTTCCGACGCCTCTCTGCCCCTTGCGGCCTGGGTCGGTGTTGCACGTCCTTAAATAAGCGGGGCACCCGCAATCTAGATGAGACACCCCCTGCGCCGATCAAGCACAAAACCAAGCTTTGCTTCGGACAAGCCATGCGTTTGAGCGTCGAGCTCCAAAGAACTCATTGGTAATGCCCCTGGCGCTTGGATTGTCCCCAAGAATAGTAAGCTTTCCGTCGCAGTTGAGCAAAATCTGTGTTCTGGTGTGGTGCGTATGTAGGCTTCATCAGGGCCCACGAATGGGCCGAGGACTTCGGCCCAAGACCCAACCCCCAGCCCACGATGGGCCCCCATTGGGGGCCCATAGAAGCCCATTTTTGCATAAAATCAAGGTCTTGGCGTTCATAAAACTGCTGAATCATCAGAATAAAATACTGTCATTTTTCGCCGTTCTAGTTCTTACTCTTATGAACAAGACTTCCTTCTCTAAAATGAATGAAATGTAGGTTAATATTTGCATGATCAACCTGAAGCAACCCGTTACCAATTAACTACTACCTAATATCAATACTATCACTTATTATGGTGGTGTTTGGATAGTCGCAAGAGTTATGGGGTCTGAACTTCCAGAGATATATTTTTGGCGAAGTGTATCTTTGACACTGAACAAATTATACTAGCGACTATTCTTATTCTAGATTCCGTGGACATACAATCTGTACCATTACTGCACAAAGCGTTATATTCTAAATTAAATGAGTCTCTTCTTTAATCATAAATTTATATCGAAAGAGGGTGATAAGATGAGTGGAAAATTGTCGGCTGCTTTTACTCTCAGGGTGAAATGAAAATTTTGAAGATTCTGGAGATAGGAATGGGCTGGGAATGGGCTAATTATGGGCTCTTATGGGCTCTAGTGGGCTATCAATGGGCTCTTATGGGCTCTGGTGGGCTATTAATGGGCTCTTATGGGCTCTGGTGGGCTATTAATGGGCTTTCGTGGGCTCTGGTGGGCTGTAGTGGGCTTTAAGGAGCTCGGCCCACTTAAACCCGTGATATCTAACCAATTAGCGATTAACTTGATATATCAGAAGTACTTGTTTCCTGAACTCGGTGTTTACCACTAAGTCAACACGTCTCCTAGCCTTATTACTGTATATATCCCCTTTCTCCTTTCCTACCCTTTCCCTTCCTAACACCTTATTTCAAATCCTCATCTTTCTACTACCATGTCAGAAAGCCAGCAATCTGACTTTGCGTCGTCGCTTTATGACGGAGATATAGATACTCTTGCTTATCTTACGCCTTCAAATCGACCAGTTACTCCAGGTCCATCTAGCAGTCAGCAAACATTTGATACCTTTGACTCTGAATTCCTCCGTCCAGTTATCCCACTTGTGGTTCCATCTTCTCTTACACGCGTTGGTCCTGACCGTAGAAAGGCATTTGTTCTTTATGACGAAATGACTCATAGTGATTGGGTGGACTGGTGGTTACAGACTGACTATGGAAGAAAGAGCAAGATACATTGGGATTCAAGTCATCAGTCAGATATTTGGAGCCACTTTCACCAAGTGGCACATGGAACAGATGGCTCGCCAAAGGTTATGTGTAAACGCTGCGGCCAGATTCTTGAGCATCCTTATTCTCTAAGTAAAGGAGCCGACGGGAAGGACCAGCGTCATGGCTTATCAACGATGAAAAGACATCTCACGACCGCTGGGTGTCAAAAAGCCAATAAAGGACACAACGCAGAAATCACTGAATTTCTCAAGAAGGGTGTAGGTTATACTACGTATAATTATTATTATTACTTTGCTAATCCACTTTGGCTACTTTAGGATGATACTCCGACCGAAGCTACTTTTTCGCAAGAAGGCTGGGAAGAAGAGATCTTATCGTTTCTATCTATGAATCGGCTTCCATTTCATCTCATTGAGCACCCAACGTTCAAGAGCCTAATCAATATGGCTCGCTCTGCCCTATCGTTGCTCGCTCTGCCCTATCTCCTCCTATAATCCCCTCCGCAATGACAATCCGTCGTCGGCTAGAAAGCTTAGTCAAGGATCGGCAACAGCGTATTCTTCGGATGCTTCCTGCTGGTTGTAAGCTATCTATCGCGCTTGACTGCTGGACATCCCCATTTTCTCAGGCTTTCATGGCGATCACTGGCTATTTTATCGATGCGGATTGGGTCTATCGGGAGGTACTACTTGATTTCAAACCTATTTATGGGGCGCATACTGGTACAAACTTGAGTAGTGTTCTTGTGGAAACCCTCGTGAAGCATAGGATTGAAGACCGGGTGTTTGGTTTGACTACGGATAACGCATCAAACAACAAGACATTAGTTGATTCGCTCCAGCAAGCTTTATCGGATGGTGTTCTTATTATCCGGATTCCGTGCCTTGTACATATTATCCAGCTCAGCCTTAACCAGCTTCTTGGTCATATCAAGGCAGTCCCATCAAACGACACAGCTGAGACAAAGTGGACAGAGCAACAGTCTTTAATGGCCTAGGTAAATGCACAGCACCGGAAGCGAGAGATCTTCTACACATTGAATAAGATCCGCTATCTTGCGATCTACGTGAACGCAAGTTCTCAGCGTCGGGAGACATTCAGTAATCTCCAGACTAAGGACACAAAGCTTATGCCGATCCAGGATGTGAAGACTCGGTGGAATTCAACATTCCTAATGCTTCGTCGTGTAAAGCGGCTCTGTGCTATCTTTACACCCTTCTGCGTTGAGTATGATCGTGAGGATCTATTACTTAATAATGAAGAGTGGCGTTAGGTCGACTATCTTCTTTGCATCACTAAGCCATTCTTTGACTATACCACTCAGCTTTCAAAGACTCGAGATATCACTGCGCATTATGTGTTCAGAGTCTACAACAAACTCTTTGAACATCTTGAACAGTCAATGAAGCAGCTCCGGCGAAAGCGTGTCCTATGGAAAAAATATATGCTTGACGCACTCGAAGCTGGTCGATTAAAGTTGGATGAGTGTTACTCTCAGACTGATAACGTTCGAGGGCATATCTATGCGGTCAATACAATGCTTGCGCCTGTCAACAAGTTTCAGTTCTTTCTGACTGATGATTGGGATCAAAAGTGGCGCGATACTTATCGTAAATCCTTTCAAGAAGCTCTCGCTCCATACCAAGATCGTCTTTCTAATACTCAAGGCTCATAAGTCTTTGAAGTAGTAGTTAGGCCAAGTTCAAAACTTGACAAGATGTTGAATGGAAGTAAAAAGCAGCCAAAGGCAGCCGCTGATGAAATGATATAATATCTTGACAGTGGTATATTTTAACGTAATTCTGATTTAAATAGTATTAACCGATTAATAGATACAATTGATATCGGGCCTCTTGCGTTCTGGAGAGAAAATCAGTGCCGCTTTCCGGCGATTGCAGCTCTTGCGCGAGATGTTCTCTCAGTTCCAGTAACCGGTGCTGGTGTTGAACGACTGTTTAACACTGCTCGAGATATCTGTTATTATCGACGAGGAAGGATGAAATCCGAAACAATTCAAGAGCTGATGATGTTCCTTTATACTTCAAGATTTGATCTTGAAGAGAAGGAGTCTCATCGGCTAGAGAAATTCTTCTCTCGTGAAGAGATTGAAGCAGCAAAGGAAGAGAAGGACGAAAGGATTGATGAGATTGAAGTGGAACCAATCAGTGATACTGAGGAGTCAAATAATGAATTGAATAATGAGATAGTGGCAGAAGTGGCTCCTTCTTCTACTATCCAGGACCACACTGAGCCCGAACTGCCAGAGAATAACACTCAGCTACGGGCTTCAGGACGGAAGCGTAAGAGTCGAGAGGATGATGCGTTTGAGTATCATTGATTTGTGATAATTATTCCAATCTATTCATTTTGAATTCAAGCTGTAATCTTAATCTCAATTGCTTCAAAATTTTCCAATCGAAAGACGAGATGTAAAGGAAATACTTAATATTATAGCCAGAAATTGCATAAATTATGCAGTCACGGAACCTAGGCATGTTTGTACTGTTTGTGGCCCAATTGGGGGCCCAGAGCCCATCATGGGCTAAAGGTCTCGGCCCATGGCCCACTGTGGGCTATAGAACTCGGCCCAAAGCCCAACCCATTCGTGGGTTGGGCTGGGTTGGGCCTGGGCCGACGTGGGCTCTGATGAAGCCTATGCGTATGTATGTGATAGAGTCGTGCGCTTCAGTACTCAATCCATCTCCAGTGCGATCAACAGTATCGGCTAAATATCCGCACTCGGTGCAAACTTAACCCAGCCCATTGGTCGTCCAAGAGTGGTGCATCTGCCTCTCAGGCCGTTCGTGATTTGACAGGGGGATCGAAATTAAGGGGAGTATGGTTCCTCAGGGCGCCTGAGTCAGGGTATATACACCATCCGTAGGACATCTGACCAACTCCATATTATCGTGATCAGGCTATATAGTCAATTCCTGGTGTTAACACAGGTTCTGAGCTGCACACAACGTTCCCTGAGCATCTAGATGCTGTATCTGCAGTGCGAGTTCCTGAGCACGATGGGGGCTGTTGTCATTTTCACTTAATTGGCCAACACTTGCATTAGAATAGCAGCGATAAATTGTTCAAATTTGAGCGCGTTCCATGCTGAGATGATTGCCAATTCTATGAGGCTTGCTCGCCCCCTGAATAGGCATCAATGCTCACCTAAGAGGCTAAGAGGCTAAGAGGCGAGCACCCATTGAAAGGGGTGGCCTGTTGGTCCGTCTAAGACAGTAATAATGACTAAGTGAGGCAGCAAAATGCGGACTAGGGCGAGAGGGACTGACGGGCCTGTCACGACATAATCGTTAGCTGAAAGTGGCGCCGGCAATTTCCAAGGAAATCGGCGCGACTGGCGTCAGGCCTCCCACCTTTATGAACACTGAAGCAAATTGCTGTCTATGACTAGATCCTGACGATATGAGCCGCTATTGTTTTTGACCTCCGTTGACCTTTTTCCAAGATAACTAACTCTTCAGCGTGGTCCATTACCCCACCAAAATTAGCGGAGAGGTAGGAGTCCAGTGACCAGAAAGTGGGCGATCGATGGCTTTGACCCTGAAGTAGTGGGTCAATGAGTCACTGGTGAAGCCTCCATGTGGGCCGTTCTTGTGGTTCAAGTGTTCAACCAATATTTTATTTCGAGACTTGCGCTTTTTTGAGGAGCGTCAAGATCTTCCCAGCTCTGCCTGTGATTTGATGAACCCATTGCTTCCAATAGATGTTGAACACATTGATGACGGGAGAAGTTCTTTACTGCCCCCGCTTTTTGCTTGAATGGCTTTCTAAGGCTTCAAGAAAAACACCCTTCTTTTTGCCCTTTTCGTTTTCTCTCAAACGCTGGGCTTCTCTGAAATCTGTTGCGTCGAACACACTGGAACCATAAGAACACTCACATGGTCGCCTGGCGCTACCTCACAACGGGTGACTCATTGGTCCCAGCCACTTTCCGAGGGACTTCGCCTTTCTCCTCCAAGTTCTTTCTTCCAAAGGAACTGTTCTTGGAAATCCAATTTGGTTTCGTACGGAATAAATCCGTGCTGTACACACACACACACACACACACACACACACACACACACACACACACACACACACACAATTCATTAACGCCCGGCGGCTGAGCCGAAAGGGCAACTAAAACTGATCTATCGATACACGTCCTAATATACATATGCCGTGTCTCCTTCTCCTTCGAGCCCATACATAGATCCTTGCAGCATATGTCCTCTCAGCTGTCGATATCAAAGGGATCCTTGTGGGTTAGTAAGTTGGTTAGTAGACTGACTTGAAGGCGCTTCTTCAAGTGTTCAACATCCTATCTTCGGCAGTTGAAGCGCGTCCACCATTTGTGGCACAAGGTGATAGGTGTAGGTTGGTGAAGGGGGAGGAGGGTGTCGTTGTGTTGGTTGACGTGGTTAGGTGGCGTCGAGTCGGCCCGTGGCGATCGCGAATCGTATTGAGGCTCGCACAGCTTCCAAATTCGGTGTCCATTGCTGATTGTCAGAGGGTGATTTCCCGCCCAGGAAGAAGGAGAGATTGCCCCGGTGAGTTTGGCTACATTGCAGCAGTGCTGTTCGTTGTATGGTCCACTTGCGACATCGGAAGAGGAAGTGTTCCACGGTCTCTCTTGCTTGTCCACATGCGCACTGGTCTGTGTCTGCAACGTTGATCCGATAGAGATAGCCATTGAGTCTGGCCATGCCAGGAGTTGAGCCAGCACGCTCGCTTCCTTCCACGATAATCGATCATACAGCCGTCGAGTGTGTTTCCCTGGCAGTGCTGCATCGATTCGTTTCACGTGTCTTCCTACTTTCTCCGGCAAGTCATTTTTAGGAGCTGCTTGAGACCGAGCGATCTTCAGTGTTGTCGACTTCATCCTGGGGACCGATTCTTGTGGGACGGCATCCTTCTGGGTCGCGGTTCTGGCCTGCTCTTTGGCCAGACCTAGCAGTTTATTGTCTTTGCTAGTAGGGACCCAACAGATGTTGATGTGGTTTCCGTTTCTCTGCAGTCTTTTCATCAACTTATACGTTTGGCAGACAAACTCCTGGCCCGACTGTTGCCGAGGATTCCCTATCGTAAGGGCGGCCGCTTTGTTGCGCGTAGACCTGGCTTTGCACCTCCCCGCGGTGCGAAATTTCAGAACCTGCACCGCACCTTAAGAGGTGTAGGTGCAGACTTTCGCACCTCAACCGACCCTGAGGGTCGGGAGGGTCGCTGGAGGGTAACCCTCATCGACCCGCATGAACCCGCATTTGCATAATTTTTCGACGCTTTTCCTCTTTTGGCTGGATAAAATGGATGATTCATCTCTGTTTTTTACAGCTGTTCCGTCAACCTATAGACATTTCATCGAATACTCTATCAATATGATGAATTTTGGAGAAATAATCATACAAAAGTAAATAGCAGGCATGGTCATATATAAATGTCAAGTGATATTCAATAATATTGATGCGGTAGGTGGTTAATGAAGGTCATCGGCAAAACAGCATGTAAAGTTGTAGATATATATATCGTAGAGCCTGTAAAGCATGTGTATCTTTATGAGTAGTACTACTATTTTTTAAGAAAGCTGTAAAGATAGAGTTTAAATTCCCTTATTCTTATATTATTTGAATCGTTAAGTCTTCTCCTATCAAATTACTATTAAGAATTTAGGTCAGATGATATAGGTAGGTCGTCAATTCGGTTCAAATATGCTAATTGTTGGACTTAGACATTCTGGTCAAGAATATTTTCTTAAACTGAGGGTCTCTTTGAGGTGTATTGAGGTGCGTTTAGGGGTAATGGGGGGTCTTTTTGAGGTGTACTAAGGTGTACTGAGGTGCGGGGAGGGTTAATCGAGGGTCTCTTTGAGGTGTATTGAGGTGTATTGAGGTGCGGGGAGGGTTAATTCTCGGGTTATCCACTATACTAGCGAATAAGATCTCGATAGGTAGATACAAAAAACGATACATCAATTCTAGCATATACAACAGGGTCAAATAGATACCCCAAGAAAATCGCACGTCTTTTCGCGTAAACAAATCAGTAAGTTCTCTATTATCTCCATCCTCAGTTAATATACTATCTTCTGGTTTACTAAATCTATTATGTCTTAGCTCTCCGAAGTCTACTCATCGTCTAGCTTCGAAACTCCAGACAGGGTGCTATTAGACGCGATCCAATTCCTCCTCCCTAACGATTCCCTCTCCCAACGCGAAAGCCAGAGTCACTTCTAGTCCGAGAGCCAGTTTGATTTAGCCCTTGACCTTCCGAATAATCGAGTTCAGATTCGTGCGGTATCTTAGGCCCTAGATACCCTTCCGCGAATCAGGCCCGACCGTATTAACGAGTTCATTATCTGCACACTAGCGATGTCTACAGAATTCGTTTAGTGGTGGCTTCACACTGACTACGGTAAGTCGAAGCGTATTAACTGGGATATAAGCCCTGGAAGCCGTCGTGCAAAGTGCTGGGAAGGGTTTCAGCAAGTTGCAAATGCCAAAGATGGAAAGCCAGGGGTTATATGCAATCACTGCCGTATAGTTCTCGCGCATCTAGCTACGAACCATACTGGAACGTCGACGATGCAGAAACATCTCGATGGACTAAGGTGCCGATAACGACTACCGAAGAAAGGTACTGGTAGTATCCATTAACTAATTAGTGACGCGGTATGTTCGAACTAGCCTATATTAACGTTAATACTAATACTTAGTTCACTCTCCCTTAGGCCGAAAGAAGACTAGCGCCTACCTTTACCCAACGAATATGGGAGCAGAAGATTCTTAATCTTATCACTACATCGTAATTACCCTTCCGACTCCTCGAGCATTAAGAATTCCACGACCTCCTTTCCTACGCACGGCTAGCACCTACACCACTAAGCGTCCTATCGAGAAAGGTCATTCGCGAGCGCCTCCGGAGTTTCGTTATAGAGTATCAACAAGACACACTATAACGGCTCCTATCTAGTGCAAAACTATTACTTGCGCTTGACTGCTGGACTTCACTATTCTAGGATGCATTCATGGCTATAACGGGATATTTCATAGACTAGGAATGGGAGTATCGCGAGGTTCTCCTTGGGTTTGAGCCACTTTCTGGAACTCACTCTGGCGTGAACCTCGGTGAGGTTGTTCTCCAGATTTTATAAAAACACTAAATCACCGATCGTGTATTAGCGGTAATAACTGATAATGCGTCTAATAACAAGACGCTAATCACAGCGGTGAATGATTTAATCCGCGAACTATAGCTAAAGACAGATTCTACGATTATTCAAGTGCCCTGCCTTGCGCATATCATTTAATTAAGTCTGATTGATTTACTTGGTAAAATCAAGGCTTCACCACAAAACGACACTGCCGAATTAGCATGGTCTGATGATCGTGTACGTTTACTTCGTGCGCGCTAGCAGAAACATGAGATCGCCGATACTCTAAACAAGGTAGGTTTCTATTTAAGTGTCTTATATAAATCACTAACTATCCTTATAGGTTCGAGGTCTTGCGGTTTATATTAACGGAAGCCCTTAACGTAAGGAAGCCTTCCTGAATCTCCAGTCTAATGGGTAAAAGCTTGTCCTAATCCAGGACGTTCGTACGCGATGGAATTCGACGTTTCTTATGCTCCGACGGGCGAAAAGGCTTTATATTATATTCGACGAGTACTGTTCGTACCATGATTAACCCTATTTTACTTTAAGTATAGAGGGATGGCGACAGATTGACTATCTACTTTATATCCTTTAGCCCTTCTTCACGTTCACTACGCTAGTTTGTCAAACTAAAGACTCGAGTATTCATCTCATCTTTAGTATTTATAATAGGCTCTTTGATCATCTTGAAAGATCTATGCGTTAGCTTCGTCGAAAGAAGGTTTCCTGGAAGTAGCTAATGCTTTCCTCCCTTGAGGCTGCGAAAGATAAACTCTCGAAATACTACGGTATGACAGATGATGTCGAAGGTGATCTCTATGTAATTGGAACGATCTTGGATCCGTTAAACAAGATGGAGTTCTTTTCAATAAGTGATTGGGCCCCGGATCACACAGGAAAGAACTATAAGAAGGAATACCGTGAGAGCCTCCAGTCTCTTTTCGAGAGATATAGCCGACGTATACCATCAGATATGACACAGTCTGATAGTAGGCTATCAATAACCAAATCAGCGCTTGAGAGGGCTTATATGCGTGATCTATCGAAGCTATCAACCGGTCCGCAGCACGATAAGCTTACTAGATATCTTCAGAGTGGTAAGTGGGTAAACCTACTAAATGAATTATCAAACTGACCTTCTTAGACACTATCGATGAATCCGCGCGGATCTTCTGGAGAAATAATAAGAAGGAGTTCCCTATTCTTATAAGCATTACCCGTGATATGATGTCTATTCCAGCGACTGGTGCCGGAGTTGAGCGTCTTTTCAACTCTGCTCGGGACGTTTGCCACTACCGCCGGGGTTTGTTGAACCCAGAAACTGTTCGCGATATCATGTTATATTTGTGTACAACAAGGTTCGATATCAAGGAGGAGCAGCGGCTGATTCTCCAGGAGTATTTTTCAGAGCAAGAGATCGCAGCCACGTCTGAAGAACTCGACATCGAGACACATTGCTCCGAGGCTATCAGTGATACTGAGGAAGACATCGAGTTGCACCTTGATACACCGGTCGCACCACCACTCTCAGAGGTCGCTGCTGGAAAGCGGCCGGCGGTCACTTTTGATGATGAGGGAGTCTCTAACGTCGATGAATTTGCGGATCCAGAAGAGAACTCGGTATCACCCTTACCTAATACGCAGCATCGTGTATCAGGTAGGATGCGGAAAAGGTCAAGACTTCTGGATAGGTATATAGTTTAATAGTTTAAGACTTGAGAACCCTGTATTCGAATCTAAATGATCATGTAAATAATTAATCATTCAAAGCCCTATAACCCATTCGAAGATAAACCTATGATATACACTAAATGCTCCTGTAAGGCCATATAGTAATGAAGTTTTAGTTTACAATTACAAGAGAAAACGGCCTGTTTCTACATAATATATGCAATTGACCCCGAGTGACGTTTTTTACCTGTTTGTCATGTTTGTCGCACCTCAGGTTTACCCGCGGGTTACCCTCTTGAGGGTCGACCCTCGAGCTACCGCACCTGAGGGTCGGAATCTTGGAACCTGATCCGCCCAAGCGGAGGGTTAGGTGGAGGGTTATGAGGGTTACCCGCGGGTTGGTGCCAGGTCTAGCTGTGGGTGTCGGGATGCTGCAAAAGGAGGTTGATCCTGACAACGCCCTTAGGTGATCCACGAGTGTTTGCCTTGTTTACATGTAGATCTTCAGGTAGTGTAGGCAAAATGTAATTTCAAAATTTCGAAATTACTGAAATTTGGCTGCTTGAAATGTAATTTGAAATGGGCCTTGAAATCTTGAAATGGCGCTAGTCCCAAAATAGTAATGATTATCCGCTATTCTACCAATAAAAAGCTTCAAACTGACGGGCGGGACATCGACATCAGGTGCTTCTATCCCCGCCGCCGCCGGCTTGGCCGCCCGGAATTATCTGCAGCTCCTTCAGACCGTTCAGAGACACGCTTCGACCTCGTCCGCATAAGATTAGCTGAACCTGAATCTGTTGTGGGTATCGTTGAAGGGCTAAGGGGAAGCTCCGAAGTTGGCTTCAACAATGAGTTAAGCCTCAAATTCAACGCAGAAATGAGGGCGGGATTCGTTGATGCTGAAGCTGAAGTCAATGCTGAATTCAATGCTGAAACTAGGGCAGACGTTGGTGATTGCTCTGATGATTGCCTTGGTGGCTGCTCTGATGGCTGCTCTGGTGGCTGCTCTGGTGGCTGCTCTGATGGCTGCTCTGATGGCTGCTCTGATGGCTGCTCTGGTGGCTGCTCTGGTGGCTGCTCTGATGGCTGCTCTGGTGGTTGCTCTTGATGTTGGTCTGAGCCCTCTGATAGATCGTCTAGCACTTGGTTTCGCTGTAAAACCCTCTCTATCTCGTCATCCTCTTCTTGAAGTAGTGATTCTTGCGCGACTTCGGGAGGACGGTCTGCCCGGAATTGTCGTTTATTGATCTGCACGAAGAGCAATTTCTCAACGCGGTGAGGCTCGAGTCTATTTCGGACTTTTGTATGCTGAAGGTTCATCTGTGAAAAGGCTCTCTCCGCTGCCGCCGAATTCGCGACAGTATTGCAGAGACGACGAGCAAAGGGTGCAAGAAGCGGAGCAAAGTCCTCCTGTATACGAATATCGTAAGTAAGGTCTCCGTTGTAATAGGGGATAGTATAACGTACTGCTTCAAGCCAAAAGAGAGATGGGCTCTGGGCCTTCCAGCAGGAGGCATTATAAAAAGCTCCCGTTCTCTGCCTAAATGAAAGAAATTCGTGCCAAGCGGAAGAGCTTCTATCGTCGTTCTGTACAGGCCGCAGGACACCTTCGATATAATTTCGAGAGCTCTGGTCAACTTTCCCAGGGACTCTAGCAGGATCAAGATGATAGGCTACCCAGTGAATAGGCTCAAGCTGACGTAGTATTCGACTTTGCCAGCCTATGCCATCCAAATAGGATAAGAAATCGTCCTTAAGAGATGTTTGGGAGGCTAATGTTCGTAGATCTTCATGAAGATCTAGCCACCGCTGCGTTACCTCCATAATCGACGAGTTCCGAGCTTCGGACTGTTTCTGGGCAACATGTAGAGGCTTAAGGATTTTGATTAATCCCTTTAGTTCCCACCAGAACGAATGCGAGTTCGCTATCCGAATAATCTCCCTTCCCCTAGCAGTCGAAGTAGCAGGAGTGATAAGTGTCCACTCGCAGATAGCTTCTTGGCAGTCGTGAAGCGAGGATAGCATAGTATATTGCGTTCCCCATCTGGTAATGACGGATGCAATTAAAGCCTTTCTATTACCCCACTTCTCAATCTGCTTTGCTTGCATCCTTGCGTACTCGAGTGGTGAGTGGTGGAAGAAGACAACGATTTCAAGAGCCTGCTTAAACACTGACCCTGCTCGAGGGACCTTGGAGCTCTTTGGGTCAACGATATCCTTCATGATCAACTGTAGCCCGTGAGAGTCACAGGGAATCATGAAGCAGTGCCTGAGTTCTGGTGTTTGCTCAAGCTTCTCCCAGACCGACTTCATAACACAACAAGTATCCGTCGAGATAGAATTGATTCTCTTCCAGTCAGCTATTTTATCTAGCTGTAACAGAAGACATTGGAGCCTGTTCAAGATCCAACTGCTAATAGCAGCAGCATCAAGTGTCTTGTCTTCCATATCATTCAAGTAGATAAACCATGACTTCATTGGAGTTGTTATAGTCATCACAATTACCCGCTGGGATCGGATATTAGTAGTCTCATCCACCGTTATATTCAAGAACTCGGTTCTCCGCAGTTCCTTCAGCACCTCCTCCCGTAGTCTATTATATGCTTCATCTAGGAGATCATCGGCGATTCGGTGGCGGGAAGGGATTTGGTATGTTGGACTTAATGCATAGATGAGGTCGCGCATCTCATGCTGTTCGAAGAGGTTGAAGGGCCTAGCTCCGGTGAAGCAGACCTGAGCTATTAACTGATCAATATTTCGAGATGGTTGAGAAGCAGAGAAACTTAGGAGTTTCTGTTTCTTCCCCGTGTTGGTTTCAGGATCCATCAGAGCCTGTGCTTTCGTGCATTTATTAACATGCTCGCTCTGCCGCGTCGTGTTTTTGGCGCGAATCTTCAAGCACCCGAGGCATTTTGCTTGAGGCACCTAGCCGAAGTCAGGGGAGCACGCATAGGCTTGTGAATCAATATTATTGCTACCTTTTTATCGCCTTGTAAGATTTCAAAGCACCTCTGAAGCTCGAGCTCGGTGTAGGAAGCCTTTGCAGAAGACTGACTAGCCATTTCCAAGGGCATATAGCTATAAAGGGGTAGGAGCATCCCAAACATCTCACAGATCTATATCCTGGTAGCTGTTGCCATGAGCTACAACATATCCAAAAGAATATTCGGCAGAAACAGGATGTGTTACTCCTATTGGCTGTAATGCGTTACCGTCTTTGATTACTCAGCGGCACCAGCCCCTTGAAATGTAATTGAAATGAGAAAAAAAAGTGAAATTTCAAGATTTCGTAATCAGTTGGCCGATTTTGTAATTACACCATCACTAATTCCAGGAGACTCCAAGGAGCTTTACTGTATGATACGAATGACCCGTTTGTTACCGTTTATGCAAGACGAAGCAGCTAGACAGGGGTCTTTATCACGCTAGTTAAATCTTGACTAGTGTGCTTCGCATTAGGGTTTGGGAAACAATCTACGAGTGGAAGAGGGGGAATCTGATTTCGAATTTGGCAGTATCGTCTTCAAACGACTGTTTACAACCCGTCCACCCGTACCCCCCATACTTTTCCCATCACCGCTTTTTTTAAGAATGGGCAGCGTTGGGCAAATTTTCCACTACTCAATGTGGGCACCCATGTGTTTTTAACGGGTCGTATTTTCGGCGTCACAAAAGAGGATCGTCAACTAGCTGTCGTGGCAGACGACATACATTTTCTGCCAACACCAACAAGTAGTCTTCCGCCAACACCTTCTTCCACGATCGGGAAAAGAAAACGCCTTGACCGATGGTCCCACAGAGCTGGTTCAACAACACCGTTCAAATCCACATCGCAATCTCATGGGGCTCCGCTTGCAACGCCTATCAGATCAAACACTCCTGTTGACGAAGACGCGGAAAGCACTCAGATTACGTGGTCTGACACGCTCGATGAAGTTAAGGATTCACTACAAACAAGTACACCCACTCCGGAGAGGCGTTCACAAAGACCAAGAAAGACCTCCTACGCTGATATACTTCCACGATCTAAATAAGAATGCGCCTGACTCGAAAGCTTATGTCATCTCTTGTGTTGCGGGTATTAGTCATCTGGTAGGCTTTTTTTCATTGGTTCATTTACTTTTGAATCGCACTCCCGCTTCATTCAAAACACTTCAACGTTGCTTTTGCCTTCCAATTCCTATTCCCCCTGCCTTTCGTTTCAGGGCCGATGCGTGCGACGCGCGCGTCTTCCAGTAATATCACGCAACCCTGGAACAAATCCTAAAGTACCAAGCTAGCCATATAGAGGTTAGCTGACCACGTGACTAGGGTTTGAAAGACTATCTCTCTGTTTCCAGATATGGAAGGCAATAACGGGCGGCACTGTAGAATAGGGCGGCTGGGACAGTCTATGAATCGATCAATCAATCAATCAATCGGCGTCAAGTTCCTAGAGCCTCTGCTGGGGAAGTGACAAACAAGCCAGAAAGTGTTCAGTCTCCTGGGGTCCACGTACAGTAGTTCCCAAAACGGCCGAAGGCGTATTTTGGGCCTATGCATCAGTAGCAAACATGTCTGCTTTGTGCCTTGTGCTTGGCGAGGGGAGATTGGCGTCAAGGGTATGCTCTTTGCATGCCGCGAGCAGGTCAAACTGTGTGAAGTCCTCAAGGAATTACCTGCCTGTTGGGCCCGCGAGTCGACGTTGAGGAACTTTGCTTTCCGAGAGTGGAGTTCGATAATGTGACGGCTTTTTCTGTAGGTTTGGTGCAACTACCAGTAGTTGAGGTATCAACGTGCCTGCTTAAAAAACATAGCAGTGTGTAAAAACGTTGAATTAACCTTTCAGCGGACACCAGAAAAGCGCTGGTTGGATGTCTCCATCAACTATGCCCTAATGCACTGCTTGGGTAGAGCGAGCTTCTCGCTCAACGTTGAGCACCAAATCCATAACCAACAATCTAGCAGCATTCACTGGGCGATCCCAATCATCATACCAAACTCGATCTACGAATCTGAAGTAAGCGAGTCAAGTTTCCTTCTCACCACTCAGATTGTTGCCTCTGATGGCAATTGATCACCGTTGCTCAACGTTTCAAAGGAGAGCCATGAGTTCGGTATGGAAGCCAAATTATAAATATCCTCACTGGATTCGAGTCAGTACTCTGTTTGACATCAACTCACATCTGATTCCCACATCTGACATCCAAGGAGAATGCACCATTCCGACGCTAACCCATGGGAGGATGATAGCCTCATAGCCCAAGCGAATGAGCAGTTGACACGATTCCGGAGTCAGAGGGGTACGCTCGCCACATGCCTGATCTCCCGACGTGTGGTGTCTCTCGGCATCTCCCCCGGCTATGTCAAAGAGTGGATGGCGGCGGATGGGTTTCGAGAAGTATATCAGAACTAGTACGTGCCGATCTTCTCCACTGGACACGCGCTGATTTACGCAGGAAAGACGCCATCATGGAAAGATTCGATTTTGACCGTCAAAGCTTCTAGCCATTCTTAGAAGACCACAGTGACCATCCCTCGATTATTGTTCCCGACCAGAGTCTCGCCAACGGGCCAGCCAACACCGAGGGTCGATGCGCGTTGGGTTTCATCTAATACGAAAAGAAGGCCGCTCCAGTACCCATAGCAAATGCATGCACGCAACCCCCCATTGATGCCCTTTGTCTAGGCTTCACCACCAAGGACACCCACGACCTTCTCGTAGTATATCACGGTGAGGGTCTCAGGCTGGCGGCGTTGGTTCTAGAAGGCGAATCGAGCCCGAAACCAGTTCGTTAGATCAACATAAAAATAACATCATTCGATAGAGATAATCTTCAGGATTCTTATGGTACTATTATCTTTCCAATCGAAGCTTTGTAGATGACGTGGGAGCTGTCTAAAGTTGGCAAAATCGAGCTTGCCGTTGGACTCCCGTGGGGACGGCAGAATATATATCTCTTCCGTTACATTTTCTGGCCTAATCGGGATAACAGTCACAACTCCCCCTTTTCTCGACAACCACGTCGTAAAGTGCTATATAAATTTCAAATCTGTATCATAGAGCGAGTAAGTACCTTGTGTCAAATTTTTGTTAAATAATAATTCTTCATTGTGGAAATGTACGGTCGCCCTGGCCGCAGAACCACTCCCGTTACAATTTCTGGCCTAATCGGGAAGCTAATCCCAAACCCCTTTTTTCTCACTAAATATATGTTGGGAGGCTCTGAAACTTCTCATTCATAATAACAGATGCAGGCAGCACTTAGTAATAAGTTTTAGTACAGAAATACTTATTTTTTGTGGAGATATAAGGGGCTTAAAAAACGCCCCCTGGCCCTACTCGCGATCTAGGGTTTAGGTTTTCTCTACCGCCTTGGCTGAGGGACAGGCGCGGGTATGTACTCTATGCCATTCAACTTAATTTCGACCCACTCGATCTAGTCAAGCCCTATAGGGCCTACCCTCCCGCGTAATAAGTCTCTAGGATCTCCATTCATCCTTTATCGCTGAGCTAGCGCCCTTGTAACCGACTTAATCCGATCTCGGCCGAGCGTGATCTGGCCGAACTCTGTTGGGAGTTGGATTCTATGTCTATGCCTCGATTAGTGTCGGCCACGAATACTGGCCGCGGAATAAACGTACCGTAGTATGTATTGCTTGATATTCCGCACTTTGTCTTTTAGGTCCACCTAGGTACGGAGCTACAACACAGGTCTTATAGCATTCTCATCCTCTGCCTTAATCCACGCCCAGGAATTTCCGTGGACGCACCATAGCCGTATCAGGGCCGCAATCTCCTCACGGGACCATAGCACCCGCTCCCGTCGTCGCTTCTTTGGATCCGGCGGCTTTGGGCGACTATTAGATAGTTGTCGGACACACTCGTCGATTAGCTTATCCTCTCTCTTGAGATTCGCCTGCAAGACCGGTGCCGCAAACCTTGCACGGGGCTGCGGCCGTCGGCTGGTTGGCGCTTTATCCCTTAATGGCTCCCTATATCGTGTCCTTAAGCTATCTACGTCGAATCCGGGGATTGTAGATCGGACGCTTAGCTACGTTATATCGGTTAGTGCTAGTGAAGCCCGCTCGGATTCTCTCGACGGTCTGCTTGTTGTCGATGATCCCTCATCCATCACCGAGGCCCAGTCTACACTGCGCTCTAGCCGGGCGGCGGTAGTCAGATCGGCTAGGACGCTAGATCTCTGTCGGGGCCGACTACTACTTGTCGTCGACCTATCATTAGGGCGCCCGCGAGATTCTCTCGGCGTCCTCTCAGTGAGATGCACAAATCGAGGATCTGTTGATATAAGCGATGAAGATCTCCTTAACCCTTCATGCGATCGTGAGACAGGTGCCTGACTTAGGTGGGCCACTTCAGCCGTCGCGATCCATTCCTGCATGCGTGTATGTCTATCCGCAGTGAGCATATCCCCCTTGTCGTATAACGCCCCAAAATTGGCTGTCGACCTTGGGGCCGGGCTTTCTGACTGCATAAGCCTCTCGACTGGATGAGGAGGGGGAGGCATTCGTCCCACGTTCGTGAGATCTACTACCTCGATCTGGTTTGCCTTAGCGGGCAAGCTTTTGCTAGAGACATTATCCGCAGGGTTTCCTTCATCCGCTATATTCACTCCTGACCGAGTGCTAGCCTTTGGACCGATTGGACTGTGTCGCGGCGTACGACTAATCGGGGTAGGCGCTACAGGCGTAGACGCAGCAGGACTATCGTCTTCGTCGGATTCTGAGGTTTCCGCGCCTCGGAGCCACAGCGGAACGTCACTGTCTTCGCTGCTTTTATCGGTCGGATCTAGTATCCGGCAACGTATTAGACCTGATTATCTCGCTAGAGGAGTTGAACCTACCAGGCGAGCGAGTACGCTTCTCCCCGCGCCGCTCCACGGTGCTAAGTGCCCGTGAGATCGGTACTGTTACTTCTGGTAAACTAATACTGTCGGAAGCGCTCTCAGCAACAGTTGACACACTAGCGGCAAATCTCCTCGGGTTCGACATCGGTTCTCGATTATAATATTAACGAACTATCGGGTTAGAAAACGATGTGGAAGCGAGTCGACGCTATCCATCCAACCGCTGAGCCCTAACAGTCCTTAAGGTCAAACCCCGCTACTTTAGGGGCTTTCCTGCACGAGGGCGCTCTGGCGCTACTCTGACTTGCTCGTGAGCCGTCGAGGGGTCCACATCTAAATGCGATGTATCGCATTCAAAGAGGCACCCGTCTATTCCGCACAATAGCGGTAATTACTCTCGCCTAGACTTCTATCTGTTGCTGGTTGCTTTCTATTATTATACAATGGCAGTTCCTGTTGGTTTAGGCTTCCAAAATGGCCCGGCCTGACCGATCTACTGAGTATGCCACTTAACGAGTAGCCACACGAGCACGGGTAGCTCAGCTTCGGAGTCGTAGGCGCCAGGCAGAGGCCACCGAGACCCCAGACACGTTCTTGAATATCTTTCTCAACCACGATCCCCGGGCGATGCCAGCGCCTCCACTCGAGAACCATAGTGTAGCCACTTAATTAGACGACCTGCACAATACCCTTTACGCTATCCCTCCGGTATATAACGAGGAACCTGATCGGTCCGAGGGTCTCGGTGGCGCTACTTCGATAGGGGTATCCGGGGGGCCTCTGGACCTAGATCCTACTAGTTAGTGATTGACGATAGAAGGACGTCTATCACTCCGTAGAACCATTCACTGACGACTATGTTCTCCACTAGAGCCGGAGTTTTTCGTCCCCGAACCTAGCCCATTGAACGACGACGAACTACCTAGAGATTCCCAGGAGCCTATAGCAAATCCTACTCCTAGTCCTACGGTAGATTACCCTGACTTTGCTACCGCGCCGGTCGCATCAGGAAGCCTCCTACTAGACACCTTAGCTACCGCTCTTGTCGATCAACTCGTGACGCATCATGGCTGCGATACTGGCTCGCATTAGACATCAACCCCTACGGGTCCAACCCAAACAGTCAGCCTGTTAACTATGACTGGCTGGGCGGCTCCAGACTTACTCCAGCCGCCTGCGAATGGACAGATTGCTTAGCATCCGACTGCATGGGACTCTCTTTTCCCCCTAGCCGAGCGTCGTAAGATCTTCACTGGCTTACGTTCCGTTGGAGAGGAGCAAGCCCTCCAGCCGCCTACTATCGACCTAGAATCGGATACGGTCCCCGACGATAGGAGTCTTCGTGTTGCGCTTGATATCGACAGTGCTGGCGGGTTTGCGTCGAGCTTAGCAGTCGCGCGCGAAGGCCTTCACTGGAAAGCCGCCCGTCCCTAAGTAAGCAACCTCCAAAGCTCCCTCCACGTAGACCCGATTCGGGTGTAGTGGTTCGCGGCGAACGGCCGGCTTCGGCGTCGGTAACAGCCTCTCTATCGCGTCCCCTATCTTCTACTCGGTCGTCTTGCGGGTTTCTCGGACGTTAAAGTCTATTTCCTCTTCCCCCGCCTCTTTCATCCTGACCTCGACCATTTCGTGATCCCTAAGGCAGACTAGCAGGTTTGGACGGACGAGATCTTCTTGCCCGCTGTCCATACGGTCTATCCCTCGTCGGCCACGTAGCACTTCCCGTCTAGTGCCGAGCATATTGAGCGAACCGCCCTCGCTCGCAGCCGAGAAACTCGCATAGGCGCTACGTCCGGGCCGTCTTATGCGCAGGACTTACATTACCGGCTTCAGCCTAGTGGTCTGGCTACGTTGTGGACCGAGATCTAACGTCGGGTCTCCCACGATGGCTATTCGCATTTTCTAGATACTCAGATCATCCTGATAGCTAAAAATCTTAAGACCGCCACCTAGCGGTCCACTTGGGCCGGTGCCCGGGATACATTCCTCCGTGATTAGACTCGGGGCGTCGACCTAGCGTATCTCCAGCAGGACTTTTACGATCTTGCTAAAGAGGTCATCTCCCATCGCAGCTCCTTCTACTCTTATCCCTCTAATGATCTCCCTCTGACCCTATGCTGGCGCCGGTGCTGCCTCGATCGATTTTCTCAGTAGGTTACTACTAGTGACGCGGCTATCCCACCACCTCACGACTCACCAACCTCCGAGGATGACTCGGGTGAGAGCTTATCTAGGGACTCTACTTCCTCCGCCGAACGACCCCCTGCAGTACCTTCCTGCCGTCCTCCACCCGGGTAGCATATCGAGCACTACCCCCAGTCCCTCGTGCGGGATCACGATTCTCTCACCATCGCACCCGCTAAGTCTAGTCCGATCTAGAAGCGCGGCCTTCGATACATCTAGTTCTACAACACGTCAAAGGAGATCTTCGCCGCTGGGAACCACTACCCGTTTACCCACCAAGGCTTAGACACCCTTGCCCTCGATCCGGGTATAGTGCGGTCCTGGCAGTATATTGGCGGGGCCGTTAGCCACTCTCCACTAATAGTGCTCCGGGCTTACCTCTATACGAAGCTCCGGTGCCATGCCGCTCTCGAAGGCTATCGGTTCCGGTCCTACGGGACCCGCGAGGAATACAGAGTGACCGGGGCCGTTTTCAAAGCTATGGACGCTATCTGGCGTGCACGCGGAACGGCCGATATGCCGCTTATCCTGCCTGGTACCTCCCGGCCCTTCTTTGTGTATCCGACGCCCGTGATAATAGACTAGTGGCGCTGGAATATTAATAAGCTCTGTCTTGGATTTGAGTTGATATATAGTATATAGCCGCGGAACTTTGTCTATTGGGAGCACAGCCGGGTGATGATGATGTTCCTCCGGTGTCTCTCTTGTACGTACGGCGGCTAGGGCGCCTATCTCCGCCGCAGTGTGGGACTCTAGATCGATCGCCGTACCCGTCGCCCCCGTGATGGCTCCGATACAGAGCGGGTGCAGGAGGGCATGGCGCTTGGCGTACATCTTAATCGCACCGGCTACGCCTGGATGGCCGATAAGATCGATTGGGCGGCGATGATCTTCCTGCCTACCCACCGTCCACACCTTGTGTTTAACACGCCTAGTCTCCAATCTGCCTATCACGCGCGGTACTGGCAGATCGTCCGCGCCCGGGAGGACTTTATCCTTTTCTATGACATCTTTAGTCGCCTCTAAGAGCACCGGGCTGACGTAGGGCGATCTCGACTCCTGCTCCAGCTGCTAGTAGACCTCTGCCTGCGTGCGTTCCGCAAAGACGTCTATTGCGTCTTTTTTAGGGTTTAGGGTTTTAG